GAAAAATTAAAAATAAAATATAAAAAAGTAAAAAAAAAATTATATAATATTTATTAGATTGATAAATCTATAAAATTTATTTTTTCTATTTTATTTGTTAAACATTGAAAAAAAAAACTAAAGAAAATTCTTGACCCCGACGTGATTTGAACACGCAACCTTCTGATCTGGAGTCAGACGCGCTACCGTTGCGCCACGGAGTCCACTGATTGGCTCTTTCTTTCGTATAGTTATAAATAGCAAATACTAATACATTCAAATATAATACGTTATTAATATATATATTATATTATAAAAACTAACCAACTTTGAAAAATGGAAGAAAAAAAAAAAAAAAAAAAAAAAAAAAAAAAAAAAAAAAAAAAAAACTTATATTCGCAAATATATATTGCTATGTTTCATAACTCTTTCTATTATTTCTTGTGTTCACATTAATTCTAAAGTATATCTAATATAATATAAAAATTATTTTAATTTAAAAATATATATATATATGTTATTCATACCTGATATGTAAACATAAAACAAGCCAATACTCCCAATGACCACCAATCAACTTCTTGACCATAATATTGTCTATTGAATATTTCTGGTGCTATAATAAAATACAAAATATATAAATATAATAAAAAATAATATAAATATAATAAAATGAAAAAATATTGATGATTTAATATTTACAATAATATTTATAAAATTATAATATAATACTATATATATTTTGACACAATTTACCCATGTATTCTGGAGTTCCACAAAGCGTATGTGTTCTTTCTGTATGATTTAACCATTTTGCAAGACCAAAGTCAATAATTACAGCATGACCTTCCTCATCTAATAAAACATTTGTAGCTTTTATGTCTCTATGTACTACACCAGCATTGTGCAAAAAATCTTTAACAAAATAATAAAAAAGAAAATTACATTTTATTTTAGATTCAATTATCATTAAAAATAATGTTTATTTACCAATTGCCAAAGCAATTTCTGCTACATATATTCTAACTATATTTTCTGGCAAAGAACCACATTGTTCAACTAATGAAAATAATTCTCCTCCTCCAATATAATTAGTTACTGAAATAAATGAACATTAAACAATTTAATAATAATTACATTTTTATAATATTAATATATATTTAATAATATATATGACAATAGACTTACATATATACAATGTTTTTCTTCCTTGCCATCTATGAGAACAATCTAATATAAATGGATGGTGACCAACCAATCTTTGTATAGATACCTATAATATTAAATATAAATTTAAATTTAATCATTACTTAAAATAAAATAAGTAAATATTTCTTCAATTAAAATATACATACTTCTTGTTTAGCTTGCATTATACCATTTTCGGCAACAACTTTTGCTTTATTAATTATTTTTAAAGCAAAAAATTGTCCGGTATCTTGTTTTTGAATTTTATATACTTTTCCATAAGCTCCTTTGGCTATTATGCTTACAAATGTATAAGCATGTTGTAAAGGTATTTGTTTTATTTGAAATTCTGGAAGAAACATAGCTTGAGTACGTGATACAGGCCATGATGTCTTCGAAGTACCCAATGGGTCATTTAATGTGCCTTCGCTCCAGCTATAAAATTAAAAAGATACATATAAATTATTAAAATTATATATATCATAAAACAATAAAGTTACCTTCTGCAAGAAGCACGAGACCATGATTTAATTTCTTTCTGTGAAGATTGTGTTGATCCAATGCAACTTCCACCAATTATATCACTAAGACTATACTGCAGAATAACATATATGTATATATATATATATATATATTATAATAATATTTATTAATTTTTATTAATTGAAATATAATAACATATTAATAATAATTTATCTTATTAAATACATTATTTAAATTACAGGTTATAACAATTTTAAATGATATATACCTGACTAGTATACTTCTGATTATTTTGATAATTATTTTTTGAGGTAGAATTACCCATTCGAACTGAAAGATATTAAATTACATTTAATATTTTGTTTAATTAATTAAATGAGTATATAATAAATAATCATTTCTTCCACGTTCATTTATTTACAATAAAATGCGTTATAAAACGCATCATATCTCATTTAGCATCAAAATAAATTAATATTTAATTATATTAATATAATTTAGAATTATATATTATTTACTTCAGAAAATAATTAAGATAAATTATTATATATGTATATATGTAACACATATACTCGGCATATAAAAGATTAATAATTTAATCCAAACAAGTTTAATAAATAATATTTTAACAATATTTTAATGAAATAATATTATATATTAATGCATTATTTACTAATTGTCATTATCTATATTAAATTATTAAAATATATTAATTATTTTTAAATTATAAATTGCATTAAAGCAAGAAAAATATTAAAAGAATTTAATTATAAATAATTTAATTTATTTTATAATAATTTTACATAATAGTATTTATATTACTAATAAAACATACCGTAATAACAAATTAATTTTTTTATTTACATAAGAAAGAAAATAAAAGAAATATCATTCTATTCGGTACTAATATGATTTAAATTATTAGAAATTAAAATAACGGATAAGATATCACGTGACTTAATGAATAACACACAATATCTATATTACATATATATCTTTTGTACATAACTAGGATATATTGTAAACAATCTATATTTATGAAAAATATTTTAATAATATGTTAAGTTATAAATCATACAATATATAAAAATTGGATCGGATTCTGTTAAGATTTTTAATCAATAGATTAGGCAAAGAAGACAATAAAGTTAATGAGATATTGGTGTTATTTCTTGAGCGCAGAATAGGAAAGCAAGGAAAGCAAATAATAGAAAAAAGATAAAATAAAAATATAAAAATCAGCGCCATCTTCAAAATGCCACAAATGAAACACATGTAGAAAAAACAATAAATAATAGGAGAAAGGTTAGAATTGAGATAGGTTAAGAATTGATCTTCAATGCCATCTTTTGAATTTCAAAAACATCTTTTTAAAGAATTGTTTTTTTTAAGATACTCAAAAGATGGTACTAATTCTTAATTCTTATTTTATTCTAATTTAAAAATTTAAAAATTTATTCAAAAGATGACACTGGCCGTTAATTCTTACTTTATTTCTATTCTCGTATTATTTATTCTTCTTATCTATATATAAATCTTTAACATAAAAAAATATAAATATTTAATTTTTGAATTTATGATTTTTCTATAAAATGCATACTTTATATTATGAATTCTATATTAAGATATTCTGTAATCAATATTTGTTATATTTTTTTTATTTATACTTTTATACTTTAAAATTTAATCTATTCTGTACATAACAATATTGAGTTATCAACTATAAATAAAATTAATCTTATTCATACAGTAACATTGAACGACATCTCTCTTTAGAAACATAAAATAATTACATTTGAAAATTGCGATTATATAATCGTACAAAGTAATGCGACTATCGAATGAACAAAAGTCAGTAGTGCAGTAACTGCTATACTCATAAAATGGCGAAGATATTAAAGGTAGGCCAATTTGGCCATACTTTTACTCGAGGTATGGAAGAATATGTAAAAACAGTAGAACAACGTATTCATCATGTTTCAGACGGTAAATTATAAAAAATTTTATTAATAATAAATCTTAATATATAAAAAATCGTCTAATATGAAATCGACAATACTATATATATACTTACTACAATTTTTATCTATTATTTTATTTTGTCATTTCTAAACCATATTTCACTATAACTATAATTGATAAAAAAATATTTTTCAATCGTATATTTTTATTAATATAAATATAAACATTTATAATATTAATAAAAGATAAAAATATATGTTATGTAAGCAAAACTTATTGTACTATATAATTTTAGGTACTATAAAATTATATAAATTTATCACTTTTTTTGTCGCTTTTCCTATAATTGGACTTACAATGGCTAATTGTTATTTGAAACATAAAGAAGAACATTCAAAACCGCCCCCAAAATTTGTTCATTATCCTTATTTAAAAATCATGAATAAGGTAAAATAAATAAATTTTAACTAAAAGCATTAAAATGAAATTCTAATGAATTTAATTATTATAAAAATCAATTTAATTATAATTTAATATTTTTTGTATAGCCTTTTCCATGGGGAGATGGTAAACATTCATTGTTTCATAATCCTAGAATAAATTACATACCTGGAATTGGTTATGAAGAACAACATTAGAAGAATTAATATTTAGTATTTACATGTATTTAACTTGTAATGCTTGGCAATAAAATAAATAAATAAATAGAATTTTTTTTTATTTACATCAAAAGATCATACATCGTAGTCATATATAATTACATACTAAAAATGATTCACATATCAATGAAGTACAAATTTATTTTATATACTTAAATACAAAGTTAGTTACTTTTTTCTTTCCTTACAAATACAATAACAATTTATCACATTGATTAATAAAAAAAAAGTACATTAATATATTTATTGTCTAATATAAAACATTAACAATATATTTTGTTTGATGTAACAAAATTATAGTTATAGTTTGAATACTTTTTGTTATAAAAGATGAATAAAATAACAAAATAATTATTCTAAATTTCAATTATATACTCTTTTTTTTACAGGTGTACAGTCTTTATAATGATCTTCCCAATGTTGTTCGAAACATTCTTTAGAACAATACTTAGCTTCTAAACAAATGGAACATGCTACAGTACTAGGTTTTCCACAAAATAAGCATATTTTAATTTCTTCCTCTTCAATATTTCCATCTGTTGTACTTATAATATTATTAATTTCTTCCATCTTTTCAAATGTTTCTAATGAAATACTTCTAATATCTTCAATGTGAGATGTAATAGTTTCTTCCAATGAAGAATTATCCAAATCTTCATTATCAAAATCTTTCATATTATTTGCAATTTTTGCTGAAGATATTGCTAATATATTGTAATTTGTATTTTCTAAAAATGATGATGAAATATGAAGTTCTTTTTGAAGTTTTTTTTGAAGTTCTTCATATTCTGTAGATTCTTCATTCTTTGATTTAGTTTCATTACTAGCATTAGTATCAATAACAGTTACTTGATCATTATTAGAAGATATTTCAACAGTAACTAAATGTTGATTTAATTGCAGAATATCATTGTTAGGCAGTTTCATATTTGATAATACTGATGTTTTTTCTTCAATTATTTGAGAAATATTTTCGATTATTTTACCTGGTACTCCTAAATTTTGTTCCTTAATATTTAAATTTTGTTCCTTAATATTTAAATTGTATGTATCTTTGGAATTATTTGATTCTTCTTCGATTTTATTCTCTTGATGAATAACAATTTCTGATGTTTCACATATTTGTAAATTTGACTTAACTGAAGAATTGTCTTTCTGTATCAGAATTCTCTTTCCAAATGTTTTATTTTGTATTTCTTTATGTGATATTTCCGATTTTTGTTTTTCATTTGAAACTTCCTTACTTTGTAAATTATTAGTTGTTTCATATTCTTTTTCATATTGATTTTGTGTTAAATTTTCTTGATGTGTCACACAATTTTGTTTAATATTCATTATTTTATTTTGTTCTTGAAAAGCTTTAGATACTTCAATCTGACAATACATTCCTTCATTTTCATTTACTACAATTTGTACCATTTTTGGAACATCAATTTTAATATTTTTGAGTATATTTGTTTCAAATATATTTCCTTGAGATTTATCTGGTAAAAAATCTTTTACAGTTTTTTCTATCAGATGTTTTAAAAGTGTTTGAAAATTAAGTAATAAAGATCTTTGTGAATTAATTTTTTGCCATTGTCCTGATGTAAATTGTTGTTGTAACCATGTAGTACAACTAAAATAAAAATCTATTTGTTTCAATAATATAATTTTTTGAATATCAGAAATATATTTTAATACATTGAATAATTTTGTTGTTGATTCTAATGAAATTTGCAGATCTTTTTTCTTTGAAATAGATTTCGTTTTCTTGTGCTGTTTCTGAGACAATGATACTTGTTCAGATATATGATTTTGTAAAGTTTCCATTGATATTTTCTGTGGTATTTTTCGATGTTTAAGTTCATTATATGATACATTCATTGGAAATATAGGCTGTACAGATTGTCGTATATTATAATTTGATGATATATGTCGTGGAATAGTTTGTGGCTGAATATCTTGTGATATACTATAAACATTTTGTTGATGTTTTGGATTTTGATATTGCTGAGTTACAGGAGACATAACTATATTCTGTATATGTGTCGAGTTTATATTTTGTTGTATAGGATAATTTGGTACATTTACATTATAAAATGTATTTTTTTGTGATGTAAAAACATTTTGTGGAACATATTGTTGATTTATAAATTGTGAATTTGATAGAGAAATTTGTCGGTCTCCTAGTTGATTAATATTAGAAGAAAATGAGGAATGTTGTACAGGAAGATTTTGCATGGTATATATATTTGTAGCTGGTTTCTGTTGAACAAAATAAGAATTTGGAATTTTTTGTTGACTAATTTTGTGCATTTGCATGTTATAATTATGTTGATGTATATTATGATTATTAATAGCAGTAGAATTTATTGGCATATTATTTTGAAATGAATTGTTTTGTGATTGCAAAATGATTTTTCCTTGAGAATTCTGATAAGATTGTTTTAAAGTAACATTTGTAGATGTTTGATTTTGATTAACAGGAAATACATGTTGTAATGTAGAATGCATAGATGTAACACATGCATTCTGTGATATTTGTGGATTAGAATATCTATTTTGATTTGATGTTATTTGATTTGAAACAATTACAGGTGTTATAATTTGACATTCACTAGAATTATTTACAGTTTTACGTTTATTTGATGAACGAATATAAAAAGATTCAATTAGTGGTGTATAATGAAATAATTCTCCTAAAGACAATAATGGCATTACTAACATTTCTTTGTTAAGTATAATTAGAACTCCATCAATTAAATCAATATAATCTTCTATATTCAATATTTTTTTTAGCTTTTCGAATTCTATAAACAATAACTTATCATAATTAATATTCAAATTAGTATTTAAACACATTCGTCTTTTTTGAATTAAGTCACGTATGTTCACGAAAATAAAGTAAATAGATTTTGAAAATTTGTAATCTATATTATTTTTTCTCATATTTTCAGAAATTGTTGTTTTATTAATTGTTGTAGGTGCAGATGTAGTAATTGAAGATATTGTTGTAGGTACTATTTGAGTCATTGATGTTGAAACAACAATAGTATTATCTAAATTAACTTTATTAAAAGTTGCTGCATTTGTAAAATGAGGAGTAGAATGTGAAAATTGAGAAACAGTAGACATAACAGTATTTATAGGTGTAGGACACCATCTAGAACCTAATTCTGCACTTGATAAAACTCTTAATCTACCCTGAGATAGATTATTGGATTGAATATTTTTCTTTTCTAAAATATTTAATTTGAATTCTGCCACTGGTAATTCATTTTCCTTTTTTGGTATATTATACATATTATTTATAGAAATAATTCTATCATTTGTATTTGTATTAGAAGATTGCATTTTATTTAAATCTTTATTGTTATTTTCTTCAATACAATTTGATATTGTTTTTTTAACATCTTGATTACAATTTATTTGTGTTTCGGATAAATTATTTAAATTTGAATTTTCATCAATATTTTTATTCATAACTTCTTCAATAGTTTCTTGAATGCTAAGAACATTTCCATTTGATGTGATTTGACAAGTTTCAGTAATATCCATATAAAGAAGATCATTAAAATCTTTTATATTTAAATTACAATTTTGAAGTTCTGAAAAATCTTCAGTTATATTTATTGTATCATTTGTGGAACAAAAAATATCAGAAGATAATGTTGTATTACCAGTTTTTATTTCTACTTTTTTTAAAGAAGCACTATTTTCTATTTCCTTAGTTATTTGAGGTATATCTATGTTTGATTTATCTTTGCTTTGTATAACACTTAGTCTATGTTTGTTTGGTATAATATTATCTCTATCAGTATTAATTAATTTTTCTTGAGATATATTGTTTTTCTTTATTTGAATAATTTGTAATTCATTGTTTTCAATTTCCATATTTATTAGACTTTCAATTGAATCAATAGTTTCATTGCTAGAAACTTCTTTTAATTCATTATTTATATTGACATTTGCAATAGCAAGATGTATTGATTCGGACATATCTTGCTTGATTTTCAATACTGAATCAATAGTTTTAGTACTTTTATTGTCAATAATTTCTTTTGATTCATTAGTTGTATTGACATTTCTAATAGTTTCTTCAAATACATCTTGTCTATATTTTAAACCTTTTTTACTTTCAACTGAATCAATAGTTTTGATATTTTCATTATCAATAATTTTTTTTGATTCATTATCTATATTGATATTTGCAATAGTTTTTGTAAATACATCTTGTCTGAATTTTAATTCTTTTCTATCTTCAACTAAATCAATAGTTTTAATATTTTTGTTATCAATAATTTCTTTTGATTTGTTACTTATATTAGCATTTGCAATGGTTTCTGCAAATATGACTTGCCTGACTTTCAATTCTTTTTTATCTTCAATTGAATCAATAATTTTAATACTTTCATTATTAATAACTGTTTTTAATTCATCTATATTGACATTTGCAATGATTTTTCCAGATACATCTTGCTTGATCTTTGATATTTTTCTATCTTCGATTGAATCAATAGTTTTAATACTTTCTTTGTCAATAACTTGTTTTGATTCATTATTTGTATTAGCATTTGCAATGATTTTTCCATATATATCTTGTTTGATCTTTGATACTTTTTTATTTTCAATTGAATCAATAATTTTAGTACTTTCATTGTCAATGACTTTTGATTCATAATCTATATTGGCATTTATAATAGTTTCTCCAGATAAATTTTCGTTAAATTTTCCACAAATTATTGAATTAGATATAGTTTTTTGAATATCTTTTATAATTTGTAAAGACGTACTTTTATCAGCAATATACACACCAGAATCACTAGAATCAGCAGAATCTTTTTTTCTTCTTCTTTTAAATCTGTTTTGTAAAATAGTTTGTTCCTGTTCATCTTCACTAATAGTTATACATTCTCCGAAATATGCTCGAAACTTATTTTTTAATTTTTTTCTCTTTTTTCTATTGATTTCTTTATGTTCATCAATTGATGTACGAATCTTTTTTCGTTGTGTAGAATCCGAGGTTACCGGTTCATAAACCGTTCTTTTTTTTGCATTTTCTTCGATTTTATAATCTATCGAATATTTATTTTTGCTTGATATATTATTTACTTTAACATCCATAGTCTTCTTATTATTACATAATTTTTTATTAATATGCGATTTTATATAATAAGTGTTTAATACTTTATAAGACTCTGATTTTACACAATTATTTTCTTTTTTATCAGAAGAAGATTTTAAGTTTAATTTTATATCAATTTTTTTAGTAGCAGGTACTCTATCTATTTTATCAGATATTAAATTAGTAATTTTTTGTATTCGAGAATTTTTATCTTCAATATATGTAAAGTAATTTTCATTTTTATTAAATTTTTTACTCGAAAATATGTTGTTTTGTGATTTAATTACAGAATCTGTTGATACAATAACAGAAGCTCGTCTATTAGATAACTTTTCGTGCATGTTCATTTTTGAAGAAACAAGTTTGTCAAATTGTTCTAAAGCCTTATCAAAGGAATGGAATGTTGTTAGTGGAATTTCTACTTTACAAGTGTCTATGAATAATTCTTGATTATTTTTTATTAATGAATCTTCATATACTTTTACGCTATTCGTTTTTTTAATATGTTTATCCCCTTGTTCAACAATCCATTCAATATCGTTTAATTTTTGTACATCGATCATTCTACAATTGTCAACAATTTTGTTTTCTCTTTCATTTTCTAAATTTTTTAATCTGAAACATAAATAATGAAAGTATTGATTTAATCAACTTGTTTTATAATATTTTATATTATTATATCAAAATAAAAATTTATTATAAAATCGATTTGAACTTAAAAAATTATATATAATAATCGATATTGTTGTCGAATTCTGAAAATAATTCTTTTCAATAATTTATTATTTTACGTATATACGTATATATTTTATTTAAATTGTTAATTATTTTTATTTTTTTTTTAAATTTTTTAAAAATTTCAAGATCAAAAATATTTGTAATATTCGGAATTCGTACATAATAAAGAGATTCAATCTATATATCTATAATTTATATATAAAAAAAAATGAATCAATTTGTCTCATTTTATAAAATTTTATTTTTTAATTAAAATTTTTATGTTTCTTATGTTTCTACGAAATATCAATTTTGTACATTAAATGTTTATAATTACAATAGAGTAAAAAGTTTAATGAAATATTGCATTTTCATATGAGACAATATTATTTTCATATAAATTCTATATAAATTTGATAGCATTTTCGTTTTGAACATTTTTCATTTCGTTCAATTGTGTTTTTCCTAAGTAATGATGTTATTTGTTAGTTATTAAAAAAAATACACAATAAAGCAAGCTTTTTATACGCTTTCAATATTCCAAGAGATTTAATAAGTTAAATGTATTATTTACCGCATAATAGCTGATTTTATTACGCATATTATATATAACTATTCATTTTACAATTCATTATACTTCTTTTATATTCATATACATATATACTTAAATATATGAATATATACAAAAAAATGAAGACAGTTAGAAAAACTGCATTTTGATTTATGATTCTATAAATGAATTAAAAAAAGATCTTTATAATTTTAATAAATATTATTTATAAATTATAAGTATAAAATATATATAATATTATAATATATAATTTATAAAATATAAATATAACTTAGAAATTTACGCAAACATATACATTTTTTTCATTTTCATTTTTTATGTTATATTCCATAAAAAATTTTAATATATTTTTATTTTTCGTTTGATGAATATAGTTCATATATTCCAATAAAATATAAAATAAAATATAAAATATAATATAAGATAAAATAATATAAGATAAGAAGATAAGATAAGATAAGATAAGATAAGATATAAGATAAGATAAGATAATAGAAGATATAAGATAATTCTTTACAAAATAAATACATAATACATATAAATAATCAATAAAAAACGAAAATGTCATTATAACTAAAAAAATGAATGTGTAATAGAATTTGTATAATGTTAAGAATTAATTGCATTGTAATTTTGATTCCGTTGAAATTACATGTAGATTATTTCCAATAATTAAATGTATGATTCATACATCTTATATCAATGCAAACAACTATGAATAAATGAACATATTTAGATAATTAATCAGTCTCTTGACAAAAAATCTAGTATCATATCAATATAAGAATAATTCAATTCGTAATAATCATTTAAAATAATTATTTAAAATTAGAAGAAAATTTATGAAAATATATCTCGATTCTTGAGCAAAAATCAACAGAGAGTAATATTCTTATTAGTCAATAGTTGCAAACTTACCCACATTTCCTGTAGAGTGGTTGGCGTGTAAGGACCACATGTGGTTTCGTCGCTAATTGCATCAACCCCCGGTGTACCTGTTTACGTGATAAGCCTAGATTTTCCAGATTCGTTTTCAGCTGAAACAATCGCCACCGATTTTTATGGTTAGATTCTCGTAACATCGTCAACGGAATTCTATTTTGAAAATGTGTAGAAAAAAAATTTGAAGGATATAAAAAAAAGAAGACAAACGTCTCGTATTGATGTTTACATCGCGTTTATTTGTTTCATTTGGACGACGCCATACCCCTAGGCATAATACGACACTATGGTAATACAAGACAATGCCATTTATTAAACAACGCAAAAATCCGCTTCTAGTTTGCCAGAAAACTCGATCATGAAAATGAATCGCACCTTTTTTAGCACTTCAGAACGGCGAACTGGTCCGATAGAACGAAGCCACCGTTTCAACACGAAGTTGTCGAACATCATTGGTACAACGGATTCCGTTTGCGCGTTTTCTGGCATCGCCGTAGCAGACACGTCTTTGTTGTTCTCCTGTGCATTAAACGTATCGGCTGTCTTGGCTGATCAGTTTAAACGAGAATATTGTTTAATACACATGTAATATATTATGCTTATTAGCCAAAAATTCAACACGATCTGACAAATTCAACTACCTAAAGAAAATATCAAGTTTGTTTCACGATCACCATGTCTATCTGTACGTTACCGCGAAAATGATTGGTTTTGATGTAAACTCACCAACCCCCTCTTCACTAATCGTCTTTTGTTTGAAATTTACAGTTGAGAAGAGAAAATATTCAATGAGATAAAGAATGATTTTATTTGGACGGAACATTTTACTAATAAAATCAATGAATTATTTTTTAAACAATTGCTAAATGGAAAATATATTTTTTTAAATTTTGAAGCATATATAGTCGTAAAAATAATATTCAATCATATGTGTATATTTCAATCGTATGTGTATATCACACACATGTGTGAGTGCGTGCGTATGTTTGTGTATGTGCGTGTGTATGTGTGTGTTCTATAAGAAAATGAGATTTGATAAATAATATTAACATAAGGAATTACTAAGGAATTAGAACAGTTTTAAAGATTATGTTCATTGTGCAATCGATAAACTTACCTAACTTTTCATTTTGCACTGTAAATATATAATTTACTTTTTTATCTTCATACATTCTGTATTTTATACATTCTGTATTTATACATTCATACATTATGTATAAATATTATACATATATATTATGTATAAAATTCTAAATTTATTTTTTTTGTATTTTTTTTTCTTTTTGTAAATGTACAATAGCATTTAAGTATATATCAATTAATAACAATTAATAATTATAAATAATTAATAAGAAACTTCTCGATAATAAATAATATTTTACACTTTTGCTTTGAATTCATCACATTTATTCAGAAATTCAATTTATACTGAATCCTAAGAGCTCTCTCTTCTATTTATACAAAGACACTACGTAATCATTATGACGAACTTAATCGAACAGAAATTTTATCTACTTTACACCAATAGATTTCTTTCGTGCTTCTCTGTTCAAGTACTTCTCGAACTTTGGTCATTTACAGAAGATAACATTAATATCATAACATAAATCATTGACTGTACTTGATGATTGGTAATAAATGGGATAATATATAAGGTAATGCACAATTCTATGTCAAAGATTGTGACATTGCATCGAAATATGAAGTTAATAAACACTATAATTAAATATATAAGCAAAATACGTAATTAATCATTCTATATGCATCATATATGCAATGAAAACAACGAATATGTATAGTTACGTATAATAGATATATAATAATTTTTAAAAGTAAAAAATAAAGAAAATTTTTGGAAATTAATCTTTTGAAAAAAATCTTTGAAAATAATAGGAATTACAAGGAATTTAAAACGGGTATCTAATATTATCATCAAGATTTTCTAAACTTTTGTCAAAAAAGAAAAGTAAAAATTTATTCCGCAAAAATAATAATTTTGAGAACAGATTCTACTTTAAGATATTGCTTATTTTCAGAAAATAAAAATACAAATGTATAAATTATAGAAATAATATTGCAAGAGATAATAATTATTGTTGTAAGAGACAATAATAAAGCAAAATAAAAAAAAACAATTTTAAATTATTTAGTCAAGTTGTTTTTAATTATCGAATTGCTTGGTTAAGCTAACGATGCAATTAATGTAATAGAGTACTTAAAATTAATGCTAATTGTTTATCATGCATAATACGAAACTGATTCGGTAATCTAAGAAAAACAGTTGATATAGCAGAATGTATAGTTTGATTTTGCTTCTTACGAAGATTTGATACATAGATATGTGATCATTGAATGACTTTTTAACAAGCAAGTGATTAATTACAATATTAATTATTTCGATTAATATTATAATTGATACTATTTTTAACAATCATAATTATCAATTTAATTATTATCAATTAATTTCTTATTTTTAATCTTTATAGGAAGAGAGCAATATTGCTTCATTAAATAATAATTTATTAAAATATTATATTCTTTTCATGAAATTAAAATTCTAATTCCATTAGAATTGTATTTTTTAATAGAAATTGAACTCATCTAGAATGTCTCATTTTGGTCTCATGATCTTTGGAACTTTATTTTTTTTTAATCTATTTTTTTTTTTATATTTGCTGGTTATGAAAAATTACTCGCTAAAAAAATCATTTCCAAAATCAAATTTAATCAAAATTTAATCAAATTTTTTTTCGAAATTATTCGCTTACCGAAAACTTTTCTGAAATTCTTATCGAAGTTTCCTTATCAATCATTTTTTCTTTCTTCCAATTTCAGGACCCAGGATACATATCTCATCCATATTTTCCAATATAAACATAACTGTTAAAAAAGATATGAATTAGTCTAATATAATCAATTATCTTTTAATATATCGAATACGTATTAGAAATTTGTAAAAATGAAATAAAGAAAATCATATAAAATAACTTTAAGAATTAATTAATGAAATTAAAATTAATATTAATTAAAATTAATAATATTCAATCTACAGAACTTCGATAACAAGGAATATACAAGTAAGTATTAGACAAAGCTCAAGCATACTGAAATTTTAAGTTTATCTTTTATTTCTTATTCAAATATATAAATATATCATAGATCTTGATGTTTGATCGATTTTATATTTAATATTCCATAATAATAATTTGAATAAATTATATATCATCATATAATTCATATATAGACAAAATAGCAAGATAAAGGAAATACGTTCATTTTCTTATATCTATTTGCTCATTTTAAATTATGAAATTCAGTTTAAATTATTGCTTAAAAGTAACTCTTACTTAACTCTTACATTACTATTAAATTTTGTAATACAAGTTATTCTTGTTTTCTTTTAGATAAAACAATATATAATAAATATTATATATTTTAATACATGCGTTATATCCAATTATTTAACATCACGTCATCTTTATATACTAACAATAGCATAATACTTCTCAAATTTATTTATCTTTTCTACTTTTCTAATCTTTAAATCTTAAATCTTGATATTTATTCGAGATCTACTATAATTATTTAAATTACTGTTACAATGTGCTATCAATTTTAATCTAATCAATAGCTTTGTGCATCATTTTTAAATTATTTAAAATAAAGTTTGTGAATTATAATTCTTTATAAATCAGCAAAATATGTAAAAAAATATATATAAATTCTTATCAAAAAGAAATAAATTCACTATTATGTACAATTTGTACAATTGTGTAAAAATTTGTAGGATAATTCATTATAGTTCATATTTTTTAAAAAATCAACTTAGAAAAGCAATAGTGACAAAATATAATGTTTGTTTTGAAAGAATAATTCATCATCATGAGTATCACATTACATTTGAAGATAGATGATTTCGAAATTTGACATAATTCATAGAAGTAAAATAAAAAGATAAAAATATATCTTTTTATTGAAAACGTTAACATATAAAATATGATGGAAGTGACTATAATAATCACATCATCATATTAATTATATTAATAATCATTATCTTTAAATTAAATTTTCCAGTATAAACAATATTTATAGTTTACAATATATTATTAAAATATTTTATTTGTGAAATTTTATTTTATGATAAAAAATTATCATAAAAAAAATATAAAAAATTCATACAAAAATATGTAATTATTATATATACTTGGTGTCGCTATATTTCTAAATGTTTATTTTGGAAAATAATTTTTACAATTTCTTTAATAAAAAAAATATATATAACTTTTTATTATAAAATTTTTAATTACAATTATTTTCATGAAAACATCACAAACATTTAAAATATTTCACGTCATGATTCGTTAGGATAAATATAACATGCCATATTTTTAAGTATGAACACAAATATCTAAAATTATGAGACATCATTTAAAGATTCAAAAGATTTATTGAGATATGAATATAATTGCAGTTTAAAATATCGAAAAAAATTTTGCAACTAAAATTGTTAAATAACAAAAAAAATTAGATAATTATATAATTATCTAAATTAGATAATATATCACTAATTTTGGTGAAGTTCATATTGTCATTAATATTATGAATATTTATTTATTATACTATATGTAATTAGTTTTACTTTATGATACTTACAAAAAAACTTTTGGTTCTATATATTGAATTTTTTGTCTATACTTTTGGTAACAATACATAAATACAATCATTTTTATATGTTATAAAAATTATATTAATATTAAGAATATAAAATGAATGCATATACAATAAGTTATCAAATTTTTTTATTCGATTCTGGCTAATATAAACAGCGAACTCATCATAATTGCATTCTTATCTAACTAACATTAATTTAATTAAGAGATGACCTAAGACGAAGATTCTGTTTCATTTTTAACATAAACAACGTAAAAGAATGCATATACAGTATGATAAAAGATTATCGCATACTAATATATTTTCACATCCGCGCATATATAGATAGAATTTAATAATATAATATTTAAAAATTTTTGTATCTCAAAAATTCAAATTGAGAAGCAATTACATGTATAAAAAAAAAAGTTGTATAGAATGTTAATCTTGATTAACATATTTCAAGATTAAAATTGATAGTATTTTCTAATAGATAATTAGTAAAAATATAATTAAAGTTTAAAATGAATATATGAAAGTAAATTAAAATACTATTATAAGTAGTATCATTTATGTAACAACTTATATAATAATTTCTATAACATTAAACAAGTTAAAAATGATTCTTTGCAAAAAAAAAATGAATTTTCAAGTTTTTTCAAGTTTAAATTAAAAATATATAAATTATTATACTTTTCATTATAAATAATTAAATTAAAGAATTTAAATAACTTTTGTTTAGTTCATAACAAAAAATATAAGTATTTCATCAGCAATAAAAGATAAATTAATACATTTGAAATAAATTAATTAAATAAATAATTGCAAATTTTTATATATTTTTAATTTATAATATATAATTAAAAAATTATATTAATCTAATTTTGAAATATCAAATAGTAAGATAATAAGATACTATTTAAGATAGTAATAGAAATTGAATAAGATGTAATTGAATAAGAAAAAATCTATATAAAAAATATCAATTGTAATTGAATAAGAAAAAATCTACATAAAAAAATATTTTAAATCATTATTTGCTGAAGAGAATTATATCCTGAAGAACAAAAATTTTTTATATAATCATGTTTGAAGTAGAATCATAATATTTATATTAGTAAACCAAATAATATCATTTCAATATGTAAATATTTGTTCGACATTTGTAGCACTATTTACTTACTTTTATTTCTCAATTTATATCTTTTCTTAAATAATGATATTAACAAAAATAAAACAAAAAAAATGTTTGTTATGTAAATTGTATGAGAATTTTATATAAAAATTTACTAAATAAAAAAAATAATAATAATTCGCACATATATTTTTCAATTTTTTCTTTTGCTATTTTGTAATTAATAATTTACGATTGTCACATTGCTATTTGTAATTTTTATAATATATAACTAATTATAATTATAATATATTGAAATTTTTTATTTTAAAAATGAAAATGTTTGATTGAAATCAACTTTTTTAATCAAATATATTACTCAAATGATGCAGACAAGCATTTTTTATCGTTATGATCCTATTGCGATGACAGGTTCATGTTTCTAAAAATGTCGAACTGTATTGTATGTTTATAACGATATTATTCATTATATCATTCATATCTAATATAAATAAATAAATTGCATTTCATAAAACAAAAAAGTAACGAATTCACGGTTAAACATGGTTACAAGTTCAACTTCTATTCTATTTTAAATAAATCAATTGTATTCACGTAATTAATTTAAAAAATTTAATAATCAATCACGGATGATTACAATAGATCCATAGAAAAAATAAATATCGATTATAAATGATCACTATGCTAATCATATATTTAATCTTAGAAAAATCTTATTGATTTTATTATTATTACAAAATTATTACATATTACAAAAATAAAATAATCTTTCTTTAACAATCTTCTAAAAATTTTGAATTTTTTATCGATACAAATTATTCACATTATTCTGTCAAATATATTTCACTATATATATAGTGAAGTATATATATAGTACACAAAAATACATCTAATGTACTAAAAAATCTCAGATTTTCAAATTTATTTTAATAGTTTCTCAATTAAAAGGAATACCTTGCATGACACATATCTGTATCTTCTACAATATAACACTTGCAGTGGAACTTTTCTTTGAATCCATGATAAAGTGTATTTCAACCACACTACGATCCTTTTATTCGGATTATTTAAGTTGTAACCAAAGCATGCCTGTTTTGAATTACTGAACTTGCAATTGAGGCATGCTTTTCTTATTCTGATGTTCACGTTATGATATATTTTATCACGTTGAACTATATTTTCAGACGTGTTAAAAAAAATACCTGACATACTACTCTTCGAGTCTTATTGTATACTGACTAGTTTGTTAAGTGCTGAAGCCCTTACATTTGGTGGGGATGCAAGTATTACTTGAATTCTAGCTTCTAATTGGTCACTGAAATCCCAAACTGAAATATAAAGAAATAAATATCCGTGCATTTTTTACACGTTACCGTTTATCTAAAACTGCTTACTAGATAGATATTTCGCATTTCCGTTTAATAATAATATTTGATTATGCTTATTATATGTTCGTTTATATGAATTCTTCAAAATATTACAAATTTAATACGTTATATTAAAATCTTTTGAAATATTTCTCACTATCTGGAAAAATGGATATCTAACCTTTAACAACTCTTTGAAAATTGTAAAAAAAGTAAGTTTTGAAAATTTTATTTATCTATTTCATATCAGTCTAAAATTTTTTCCTTTAAAAATTAAAAGAAATTTTCTTCTTAAAAATTGAAAATTAAAAAATATAAAAGATTATATATAACAGCACATCAAAATATCATCGTGTTAAAATCACACTACGATCCTTCTAATATTTAAATTATTAATTTAAATATTTTATTTTTATAAATTTTTTTTTAGTGATTTTAATTAGAGAAATAAGAATTGAAGTTACTTTGTATAATATTGTGTAATATTAATAAATATAAATTTTTGGAATAAATAATTATTAAAAATTAAATTATTGAAACTAAAATTTTTTAAATTTATAACATTTTATAATATTTTTGCATATTTTTAAATATTTTTGTTTATATTTAAACTTTACATTTAAAAATGATCATATGTTAGAAAATGAAAAATAATAATTCTACTTATATTTAAAATGAATTATACATAAAATTATACATAAAAGAATTCACTCGTATCTGGAAACAGTTACATGTTAAAAAGTTATATGTTAAAAATTCGAAAAGATTCAATATTTGCATAAATTTTTATAAGTTATTATTAATTCGTTAATAATAATTTTAACAAGTTGTTTTTTTGCAATTAAATTTGTCGTACGCCTTTAATCGATAATATTAATAAAATAATATTAGAAATAATTAATTTAAAATTTTGAAATTAAGTCATTAAGTAAATTTTGAAAGTAAAAGTCATTAAAAAAAGAAGAATTAAAAATTATATAGTTTAAACTTTTTTATTATTTATATCACATAAAATTAATCATCATTGTTTACTTGATTAAATTGCATCCTTATAAGATGATATACTACTAGTATTACAATAAATATTGTAAGTATTTGTTCAAACATAATACTAGTAAGGATGAAATATCTTTATAATTTAATTTCAATATATGATATATAATAAACTTGTTGTTAGTCAATATATCCTCATTGATAGATGAATAATCTGAAAAATAAATAATATTACTAAATATTGTTATTAAATTGACAAAGAATGAAATATTTCTGAAATTTAATTACTTTTATAAATAAACTTGTTATATTTAACTTGTATATATTGTAATAATAAAAATAATATTGTAGCATATATAATAATATAATATTGTAGATTATAATTTTTACTTAACACATTATTTTATTATATTATTCATTCTAATCAATTTTTAATATCATTAATTATATTTAAACATGAAATAAAAAATTATTTACGACACGTAGTTCTACGTGGTCTAGTTGGTCGCGGTCTACGTGTCGTTGTTGTTGTTGTTGTAGTAGTCGTTGTTGTAATAGTAGTTTTTATTAATTCGTGATCTCGCTTGCCAATTTGAACAACAGAAAAAATAATAACGCTTAAAACTATACATAAAATTGTTAATGATACTATCCACTGTAACACACTAAAATTCATTATATATAATTTTTATTTGCAATATGTATATTATTTTTGTTATTACATATCTTATATATGAAAACATTTATTATATAAAATAACTAATTTCAATTGTTTTAAGGATTATATGTTAACCAGCCTGCCTGATTTTGCTGCAACGGAATAATACTGTTTTTTTTTTCATTGATTGAACGATGCCATTCTTAAATAAGAAATCATTGGTCATTGGTTCATATATGTATAAGGAATACTTATTAATTTATATTGGAAATAATTATGAAAAGTTTTATATTATTAAATATAAGGAAGGAACACTTTCATTATAAGTCTGTTTTTATAAATTCTAAGGATTAACAAATCCTTATATTTATAAAATTATCCTTATACATATAAAAATCTGCATTTTTTAGAATTTATTGTGTGTAAGTCAAGATAATATTTTTTTATAACTCTATTTTTCAAATTGTATTAATTATATTGTTGTGTAAATGTAACCATTTAATAAATTTTATTACGAATTATATGAATTATTTTTTTATCATGACAATATTCTTTTTAAATATTACTTCATTTATGTGATTCTTTTATTTATTGTAACTATTTATGTATATATATTCATTATATTTTTATATTATCTATTATATAATAAAAAATTATATAATGAAATATTTTTATATAGACAAACAAATATATAAATTTTTATAAATATATAAATATTTTTTGTAATATTTTAATAAAATAGTTTTTTTTTAAATATTTATTAATTATGAAATATATGTCGATATTAAATTGTTAATTCAATAAGTAGTGACATCTAATGTAATATGTGATAAACTTTATTGCTGTTCAACCATATTGAACAGGCCAATGCACTTGTAGCATTGCTTGTAAATTCGGTGAGAAAAATCTGATAAATTTTATAACGAAATATATCGGTCTATCTTGTTGATTATATAATTGACCGATAAGGAATTCATGTCATAACAATTAAACTATTCGCGCTCGAAGATTGGTAAGCGCTTCAAAAAATGTTTTCAATGTGATTGTAAGAAAAACAACATAACCTCTCTCTCTCTCTGTATCTTTTATTCTTTTTCTTTTTCATATTTTTCACATATAAATTTTACTGAAAATAAATTTTAATTTATATTAAAATTTAATATTTTCCGTGCGATTACTAAATGTACTTTAAATCATCAATAGAATTTTTAAAAAAATAAATAACAAATTTATAAATATTTAATATTAATAATTTATTATAAATATTTTAAAAAAAATAAATAATAAAATAAATTTAACAAAATAATTTTATGCTCTCAGTCGTGTTGCGATCATGAACTGGAATAAGAAACTGGAAATTTAATGTCGAATGAAAGCATAAGAATAAATTGCAAAAAGTGAGAAGAATGCCGAGTTGTGGCAGTCTATTCAGAATCATTAGACGGCGTCTTGTACTTGGACTCATCTTTGCTTTATCACTTACTTATTGTGCCTTTTCACTCTTTCGTAATGAGGTAAATAAATAAAAATAATGTTGAAAAAATTATATATTACATATAAATAAAGGAAAGTTTGCATGATCAAACACGTGAATTTTAATTTGAAATTTAGAACAGAATATTATCTGATCCCTAGAGAAAGACATTAGCTTTGGATAATGATCTTGATGATATGGATTCTATGATAATTAATGACAACAATGATGACTTGATCTCTGATGATGATACAATATCGGAACAATTGAGAGCATCTGGTAAACCACCACTGTGGCAGATGGCAATTGTTGATCAAGGAGCAAATGAGAATGCATTAAACATAGAAGCAATGTCAAATTTAAATGATACTGATATTGTTCGTCCTTGTCGTAATTCTATTCAGGTATATCAAATTCTAAGATGATGGAAAGAAATATTAAATTGAATGAAAATGATTTTATCAAATTTTTGTTATCCTAATAGGGTAAAGTTCTAATAGTAGATGAGCGTGGTATTGTATGCTCTAGACAAGAAATTTTGCCAAATGGCTGTTGTAGTATGGAACAAAAGGATCCTATAAAAAATGAGGATACATCAACTACACCTAGGAGAGAGAGGTATAGTTGTAAAACATGTAACGCTCAAGGATGTTGTGCTATCTATGAATATTGTGTTTCTTGCTGCCTACATCCTGGCAAGGTAGTTTTTCGTTTTTTTTTTATTTTCTTTTTTTTTTTAAATCATATAACAAAAATATTAATGAAAATTTGTTATTAACAGCAAATAAAGGGAAGAAAAGATGTACTATTAGGTTTACTTAGAGACAATCATAAATCTCACAGAGACCAAGATGTGGTGAAAAAGCGTCTTCGTAATTTAGATCGCTTTCAAGTTTGTCTGGCTGCATGTCGTACTTCCAGTGCGAGCGTCCGCCATGAGAACACTTATAAGGACCCACATTCGAAGCATTGTTACACATTTCAACCACAACATCAAAGACATCGTCGTGATGTTTATTCATATAATAATAATGACGACAACTCTGTTGTCGTTGCATCTTTTTCTGTTATGCCATTACTTACCCTCTTCTCTCCCTTCTGCCTACTTATACATGCAAAAAATAATTCACTTTTACTATCATGCAACTATCATACTCCAATGTTATTTGATTATTACTCTCACGTACGACCACCTTGAAATACAAAATAAATTTACTATACAAATATTTTTTATAAAGACGATCGAAATTCGCGTAAAATGATCTATAATATTTTAATATTTAATGCCAAAGGCAGTTTTAATTACGGTTCGATTTTAAATCTTTTTGTTTTCAGTTGGTTTTTATCGATAATCATTTTCAATCTAAAGCAATGATTGGATTTTTATTTTTCAATTGATGAAATTTAGAATTTTTCAAATGGTAAGAAATCTTTATAATTGAAGAAAAAAAAATGGAAAAATATTATCATCTGTTTAAATTTCAAAATAGTTGCAAAATTTGATAAATTTTTTAGAAAAAATTAAATGAAATTAAAAATAATAAAGTACGATCGAATTTTTAATAAAATATTATAATAAAATTTATTCAAAGAATTTGATTTTGATCTTGAAAAAGAATCATGATTTTGCAAACGATTTAAAATCTAGAGATTACATATTCAATAAGATCAGAAGGCAAATCAATATTACTTGGAAATATTAAATCGTCGGAAGACTTTGCAATGAATATTTTGTGCACAATTTAACTTGATCAAGACTTCTGTGATATTGAGATGCTCTCATACTCGATATTAATCGAAAAATTCATCATAATTATTTATATTCAGCAATTTGTTGGCCAATTTTCCATTCATTATTTTGCACATTATAATCATACGTTGGAGCTTCGTTTATTGTTGGAATAACTACTTATGAAAAATTAGATCCATATTTAAAAACGACAAATGTCTGTTCCTGCTTAAAATTAATAACACATAAAATTTATATAAAATTAATAATACATATACAATAATTAATAATGAAATGCTTATTGATCGAACAATGATTTATTTTCAACTGCACGATAATGTGATTATTAAATTCCAAGCTTGCGCTATCATTGAATTATTAAACGAATGATATGCAACGTTTATATGCATATATTGATTGTAGATGATATTGGAATTTTTATAGTATACATCGATATTCTTCGAAATTTTTAAACATGTATTAGTCACGTTGCTGTATGTTTGAAATTTCATTTTTATTTCCATAATTGTTTGTACGTGATTGTTTATACGATAAGAAACTTATCGATATTTCTTTCGCGTCTTATAAATTCATTTTATTTTATCGATTTTTTTTATGTTGAATTTTATCCATCATACTTTTGATAGTACTTATCGAGCATTTCTCTTTGTACCAAACGAGAGAACATTAAGCATCATTTTTCTTTTAAAACGATCGCTGATTTAACGTCAGTTTGTTATTATTTTTTGTGAAACGTAACATTTTTTTTTTTATAAAATTTTTATTTTAAAACAATTTCGAAAAATTGATACTTAGAAGAAATATAATACTTAGAAAAACAAGACTTCAATAACATATTCAACATCTACATATTGAACATTTGCGGTTCAGCATTATCTTTTCGCGATATCTATATCCTAGATCAAGCTGCAATTATTATAATTGTTAGATTATGAACAATTCTCTTTTTTCATTTCTCGTTTAAATTTCGTTCAGTGTTATTTAACAGTGATTCTACAAATGTCCAGAGTCGATCTCTTCCAAAATTAATTATCCACGAAACGATCTTTTCTTTCAATGAAATATAAATGGAAACGGTAAAAGGATCTGCGTAGTTAAAACAGCTGACAAGAATATTGGGTTTCCGTTAAAACTGTCATTTTCTCGTTTTTAATACGGCCTGCGGTATCGAGAGAGAAAGATATTAGTGAATTTTTTATTTATCCTCAATCGATTTATAATAGTGTCAACACGAGTTTTCTTTTTTAAACATTCTTCGAAGAGTTATATTTTTCAATATTTATCGGCGTGTCTTATTAGTGTATAATGTAGTGAATACAAAATTTATATCTTTCAAGCAAAGAATCAGTGTCTTTAAATTTTTATTAGATATATTTTAAATACTAACGAATTCAATATAAATTTTCTTAGCAGATAGCATATAAAATGTATAAAAAGTGTTTTTAAAGTTTTTTTTTTAGCATCTTAAAAAGCAATAATAATTATTGTTGCAACATTCAATAATAATAACTTTTTTACAATAAAAATATTTTCAATATTAAATCTATTCGAATACAATAAAAATAATTAAAAGAATTTCTGAAATAAAATAAACATGAATAGTAAAGGGAGTGCGTTTTAGTGATCAATAAATAGATCGGTAAACGCCCTAATACACATATAAGCACAAGCATTGTAGCGATAATCATCATTTACATACATATTGCTTTTTATGCATTTTTATCTTTTTAAATATACTTAACTCATCATTTAAAGTAAATTAGTTAACTAAAGTAAACATTTAAAGTAAATTAGTTAACTAAAGTAAACAAAAAATAATCAGTCAACACTTTTAACAATACTTTAACATTTTTCCATTTTTTTTCTCTCTCTCTATTGCAATTTTAATCTCTTCGTTTTCGTCAAAAACGCTTCATGAATTTTCCGAAAAAAAAAGTGCAGGAAGTGGTTGATAATTCTGAATTCTCCATTCTGAAATCGTAAATTTCAAATTGTACCCGTCGACGGGTGATTCGCATTAGAAATCCTCCCCTCTTTCTTTCTTGAAATTCGTCGTTGGCAGGGACAAGGACGAGGGAATTCGAAGAAGCAAGGAAATCGAATTGTTCGGATATTTGATGCACGACCCAGGTTCATTTCTATAACTTTCCCTCGGCTTGGAAACCATAACGTTGCGAAAACAATTAGTTAATGGTAGACAAAGTTTACGCCGCGATCGAGTTACACTTTAATGGAGTCAAAGCATTTTAAACTTCCATGCTGCGATGGCTGGATATCGGCCTATTGTGCCTCCAAACTATTGTTCGAATTAATCGGCCCTGTTACGCTCGTAACCATCCGCCTTCCAAGTCGGAATTCAATTTGCTGAACGAATCGAACGGAGTTTTCGAAACGAGTTAAAGATAAAAATTATTTCCCTCTTTCCAAAAGAAATAAATTCTTTTTGTTTGATCTAGAAATTTAAATTTCAATTTAGAATCTTAAATGTATATTTTTCTTGAAGTATGCAAAGAATGCTTCCGGAAGATGTTTCATTTCTTGGTGATGTCTGGGTTTTAACAAACGGAGAAATTTCAAATTTTTCTCGGATCTAAAAAAATTTGTTAATAATAAAAAAAACGTGGGATAAAGGTCGAAAATGTAAAATGATACAGTATGCGTGAAATTAGGGGTGGTTTAAGTCATCATTTTACTAGTTTTTGAATTTTTTTTAAAAAAATACCGACCTTTAAACTTTACAATTTTTGTATATAAATTTGAAGTGAAAATCTAGATTGAATAATGCATATCGGTATGAAATTTGTTAATTTATATATTTTGACACGAGTGATAAATTTCATTGAAAGTTATATATACATAAATTTTATTGGAACAATTTCATTTATATTTCAATTTCAAACGCGACATAATTACAATTCTGTACACATGTTTTTGCTATTTAAAATATATTAAATTACAATATTTTATTATAAATTTATTATATCATATATAAAAGTAATATATTAATATATTTCATACGTTAAATAGAATAATCAACTTGCGTTTACAGATAAATGCGATAGGATTTATCGCAAAGTTCATTGAAGAAACGTTATTTTTACACATATCTATATGCATAATGCAAAGAATGGCTTTTTATCGATGTGAATGGTAAAGTAAAAATTATTTGATAAATTTTCAGCGAGTCTAGAACTCGACTCAAGGAATAATATACTATATACAATTCGTTATAGATGAAGATTTCTTCGAATAACTCGTTGCATACTTCTTATTATAAATTTTTAATTTTTATTTTTATATCGATATTATAATAAAAATAATAATTTTAATTTTGGAAAATGTTTTACAATAATAGAATTTAGCAAAGCTACGATAAATTCAATTATCACGATCTCGATAACACTATTTTTCCGTTACAGCCACTTCCGCATTTTTCAATATCAAGCTTATCGTCGCCCCATCGACGAAATCATCCTGCCATTAAATATTCACATCGTTACTTTATTTTGTAAATCACATATCCATATTCATAATTAAACCATACAAACCAAACTAACGAAACTCGTCGAATATAATTGAGTTACTCAAATTGTTCCATAGAAAAACACCTAATACTCTTTCACATTAAAAAAGTAAACATAAAATCGTGTCTCTTTCAACACTCTTCAATGAATAAATTTCGTAAAACTGCAATTTTCAATTATCTCCATCTCGATATAAATATCGAGGGAAATAAGAAAAGAAAAAGAGCAATAACATATATCCCCAAATATCCACTCGAATATCCTTCCAAGAAATAACAATATCCTTCCAAGAAAACCGTATTCCTCATCTCCTGAAAAAAGTCGATCCTCGATCCTCGATATCCTCGATATCTTCCCTCGGCTTCATCCTTCACGCTCGAACGTTTACACACTGCGCGCGTCGGTGTAGGCGTCGCGACGCCTCGCGCCGACGTGCTTCTCTCGCCTCCTCCCCGCCCGTGTTTCGCCCGTTGAATCCAGCACGTGGCATCAAAGGGAAGATATACGGCGGGGTGGCCGCCTGTTCCCGGCCAAACGGCGGCGACCCTCGCTCGTCGTCGCTCGTTCTCGCGCGCGCGATTTCGAGAATCCGCTCGGCTCGCACGGCGGAGGAGGAGTCGGTTGCAACGACGTTCAGGTTTCCGCGCCAGAACGGGAACCAGAACGCGGCTGGGTACCGGAAAACGGCAGCAATTTTGTTCAACGATCGCGCCGCCAACTTCCGTCGCGATCGTCCACTTCCGCGGATGAATTCGTCG